GCGCGCCCCGCCCGCCCCGTCGCCGCGCCGCCTCGCGTTCCGCGCGCGCGCGCGCAGGGTCCGCCCCCCCCTCCTTCCCCTTCGAATTTAGGTATCTTGTTGGTTTTCTGATTCGGCAGACGAAAACGCTCGCGCGGGCGGGGCTGTCCCCTGACTGCCTCGTCAGTTTTGCCTGGCTGGAAGCCGTGGCCCCCCTGCCGCGGCGGCTTTCTGGGGAGTCGCGCTCGCGCGCAGGGCGCGCCCAAAGGCGGCGCGGGCGTTGGGCCAAGGCGGCGCGGGCGTTCCCGGCATAATTTCGCACTTTCTGGCAACTCGCGGGCGTCGTCGTGGCTTGCGGCCAAGCCGGGTTTCGAGCTATGCGTCAGCTGGTCGGGGGCTGCCCCCCCTTTTCTGTCTCGAGCTGCACGCGGGCCCCTGAGCCCCCGTCTCGGGCGGGGCGCAGGCCCCAGTTCCGAGTTTCGTGAGGGGGAGGGCGCGTGCCTCTAGATCCCTGTCTCGGGTAGGGGGCAGGCCCCGGGCCCCTGTCGCGCGCGGGGGGCGGCGCAGGCTCCCCGATCCCCTTCTCGGGTAGGGCGCGGGCCCCAGGTCTCAGTTTCGCGAGGGCGAGGTCGCAGGCCCTTGGATTCAGGTTCGTGCGCGGGAGGGCGCAATCCCCTGGATCCCCGTCTGGGGCGGGGCGCAGGTCCCGAGACCCAGTTTCGTGATGGGGAGGGCGCGGGCCCCCAGATCCCTGTCTCGGGTAGGGGTCAGGCCCCATTGCCCGTTCCGCCTTGGGCGCTGGCATCTTCTTGGTGGCCTTTGGGCCTTGTCTCGGGCTGGGTGGCGAAGAGTTTCTCCATTCTCTCGGCGCCTTGGGCGGGGCGTCAGCCCGCGAGGCCACCTGGCTCGAGACCGTGGCGACCGCGCTGCGCAGCCACGGAACGGCGACCATGGCCGGCCTGGAAGGCGCGGCCTTCGGGGGCTCGTTGGCATGCGCCGCGCCGCCGACCCGTTGGGGCGGCAGCAAGTGTGAAGGACGGAGTTCGCGGAACGCGCGCGATCGCTGGTCAATATTTGGGCATCGGCCTGTCCTGCGTAGCGGGTTCAAAGGGGGGCCTTGCATGGGGATTGTTTTGAAGTTGTGGGGGCTTCGCGGGGCTTGTCCTAGGCCTCCTTTTTCCACCCTTTGGACAGGATCGGGGATCGTTGAGAGTCAGCTGGGGCGCGTCCGGCCAGAAGTTCGAGAGCGGGCCCAGCTGCGTCGACGAGGAGCTTCCTGAAGGCCCAGAAGGGGGCGGAGAGCGCACGATAACCAGGAGTTTCATGCCTCGAGCCTCGATCCATCCCGTTCCCCTTCCTTTGCGAAGGGGTGGCACTGGCCAGGGAGGTCGGTCCTCATCCCGGTCCCTCGGCGGTGGTCCCGGGCACCGAAAACAGTTCTCGGAGGCTGAATTCGAGGAGATGCTTCGGGTGGTCGAAAGACTACGAAAAAACTGCGAGACATCGGCGGCGATGATGAACTCTATATCGTTGTTCCTCTTCCTCTTTATTTTCCTCCTTGTCCTTCTTCTCTCTATTTCTTCTCGATCGAGGTAGACGTGCAAGAGCTTTTTGTTTGAATTGGCTTGTTTTTTAAAATTGGTTTGGGTCTCCCGGGGCCGATGCTGGGCCCCAGGACTTTCAAAACCAGACGGACATGGAACGAGAAATTGCATCGGCGGACCCGGGGAGAGGTTCGGGGAACGAGTTCGCGCGGAGTAAGTCGCCCGTCGAGTTCGGGAGGTTTGTTGTTGTTTGGGGTGTTCCAAGCCCCCTCCCTGTCGCCGCGGCTGGGTGCGTTTGGGAAAACGATTGCGATTGGATTCCGGGAATGGTCCGGGGGGCCGTGGTGAACGATTTGCTGCAGAATCTTCGTTCTTCAATTTTTTCGTTGTTTTCGTCGTCAAAGGGCCGCTTCCGGGCCCCGGGGTCATTCGGGGGCATTGTGGATCCCCGTCAGGGTCTCTTGGGTGCAGGCGCGCTTCATATTTTTCGGGGCGAACTGCTCGAATTCGCCATTCGGGTTTCCCTGGGGCTCTCCCTGGTGGTTTCGGGAGCCCTGTTGGGGCCCGCTTGAGCCGTCCGGGACCTTTTTGGGGGGCGTGTGGGGTTTTTGGGGTTGATGTTGGTGGATTTTTGGGCTGCCGTGGGATTTGCGAGAGCTCAAAAAGCAAACGCGTTCAACTTAAACGTTTCCCTTCGGTAAGGGGCCGAGGTTTGGTTTTGCCGGGCCTCTTGGGGCGCGTCCTGGTGGCGCGTTGGGGCGTCTAGGGCGCCTCGCGGGTCTGCTGTGAGCCGCGCGACAGGCCAAGAAACGAACGTGCGAAATTTGGGCGTTTGGGGAAGAGGCCGAGGCTGCTTCTGGGAGCTTCTTGGGACGCGCCCTGGCGGCGCGTCGGGGCGTGCAGGGGGCCTCTGGGGCCGCCCGGAGGCAATGCCGGACGTTTTGGAACCATTTCTTCGCAAGTCGTCGCCCTTTGGGGCCGTCGGGGGAGCCCATTGGGGCCGTCCTGTGGCCCTCCTCGGTGACTGCGGGGCCCCTCTTGGGGATTTTTGTGGGCCGTTTGAGGCATATGGGTTTCCTTGAATTGATTTGGTTTTTTTCGAGGGTTGCTGTGTGTGGGCCTCATGGGGTTTCCTTGAATTGATTTGGTTTTTGTTGAGGGTTGCTGTGTGTGGGCCTCGTGAAAGACCAAGAACCGAATGTGCTAAACTTGGACGTTTCCCTTTAGGGAACGGGCCCACGTTTGCGTGTGGAGGGCCTCTTGGGCCGCGTCCTGGTGGCGTGTTGGGGCGAGCAAGGGGTCTCAGGTTTCAGGGGCCGCGTGAAAAGTTAAAACGCGAACGTGTTGGAAATATGTATTTTCCCATCGAGAATGGGACGGTTGTTGCTTCTGTAAGGCTTCTTGGGACGCCTTTGGATAACGTCTTGAGGCGTTTGGGGGGCCTGTAGGGCTGTCGGGAGGCAATGCTGGACGATTTGGGGTACTATTGAACGACTTTGGCCAGCCAGGAGGCCTTTTAAGAACCCTCTTTGCCCGTCTTGGGGCCCTCTTGGGACCGTCCTGCGGCTCCCCAGGGCCGTTCCTATAGTTTCTTGGGCCTTCGCGGGGCGCCCGGGGGCCGTTTGGGACCCTTTTGAAAGCCTCTGTGGCTGTAGGGGGTCGATGTCGGATGCTTCTTGGGTCGTCGTAGGCCTCGTGGAAGCCCAAGAGGCGAATGTGCTGAAAATGGGTGTGTCCCCTTGGGAATGAGCCGACTTTTGCTTCTGGAGGCCTTCGTGGAACGCCTCGTAGTAGCTTTTTCAAACGTCTCGGGGGCCATTGGGAATCGTCAGCAGGCAAACTGGGGCGGTTTGGACCGAATCGTCTCCCTGGACTCTGAAGGGAGCTGCGGCAAAGGGGAGAGATAGCGAGCTTTTGTCCGCGGCCGTTTGTACTTAAGCGGCTGGCCGCCAAGATATGGCTGTGCCTCATTGCGAGGCACACCAATTGCCATTGAGACCGAAAGCATTTTCGCTTGACATAGCCCGTCGCTCCCGCGACGATCTCCTATTTCTGGGACGATCGCTACTACGGTACAGCAGAGTTTGATATGGGCTTCGCCTTAGGCGAAGCTGCTGGTTGGGCTTCCCAACCCCTTTCAAACTTGTTAACTAAGCTGGCCTATGGTGGTCAGCTGTTGCTCTACTCCTCACCATCCGGGGCACTATCTGGTGGATTACTGACATGGTGGAACATCCGGGTGCAGTGGGTTTGCGCGGAGGGAAGAACATAACTACGCACGACCGCAAGGACACTTGCAGTGTTACCTCCATTCTCGCGGAGGCCTCTTTCATGAGTCCTATTTTTTCGCCACCACACTCCTGAATTCCACCCTCCTACTCCAACGGGAAGGTTTTTCGAAGATGCCATGCATGGCCACATGCGGTACGGCACTGTGCCGCCTCCATCCCTACGCAGGCGAACGGCAACACGTTACAACCCCCAGCCACGAATGTCCGACCTCCACCTACGGGGCCATCGACAAGCAACAGCAGCAAAGGCAGGCAGGCTGCAAAGGCAAGGCTGCAAAAGCACGGGCCGACCCCCGACAAAAAAGGGCTGGACACACCGGCCGCGACGTTGTGCCGGCTTCAGACCGTTACTGACTGTGCCGTGGTGTTTGAGTGGAAGCAGGAGGACCATCGACATGCAACAGCAACGCTTGCACAGGAAAACCGACCACACGTAAGAACGGCCCTTCGCTCGAATGCGGTGCGTGCGCGGTGGCGGAGGCTAGCGCGGTAGGGTCTGCCCCTCCCCCCCCGCCCCCATAAAGCCGCTCTCCGAGGCTGGCTTTGCCTAGTCTGTCTTGCTTGTAGCCGAGTGGAAAGACGGGCTCCTGTAGCCGGGATGCCCAGACGATCGTCAAGCTGCGTCAGGTGAGTGTGCTCACTGCTCATTGCGCCACATCCCACCGCGGGCGGCCAAGTCGATCCGACCCGGGACGGTGTGCGCAGAGATGAGAGGGAGGAGGAGAGGGGGGGAGGGGGAACGAGGAGGGGGACCGCGAAACCTCCAGTCCATGAGCCAGGTAGTGTCGGCTGCTGCTGCTTCTCGGCTTTGGACTCATGCTGCGTTGATGACTGTGCGACACGCCGGCGCCCTACGTGCACGGGCACCCATGTCGATGTTGTGTCGTCTTTCTCGGTTCTCCCGCTCCGCTAGTGCCGCCCCCGAGTTCGATAATTGAGGCACCGCCCGTTTCCGTGACCTCTCGCTCTGCCCAAGACCGCATATCATGCAACCACTTTTTGCGATGCAGCTCAGGTCCCAGCTAAATCAGGCTTCATCCAACTTAATGGCCCCATCGTTCTTTCGGAGACCTCCCAGGGGTTGTTTCCTGACACCGTCTGTACATTGTTGTCGTTACTCTTGCGCTCACCGCATTTACCTTCCGACGCACTATCTTATCTTGAATTGCAAAATAGGGACTGGCAGGTTGGTCAAGCGTGGCTGCACCTGCGCGTACAGTTACGGACCCTTCGAGGTCCCTGCGGCGGAGTACCCGCCGTGGATGGTCGATCTTCTCAAAGAGTGCATGCCCTATTGCGGCGGGGCATGGGACAGGACATCGAAGAGGAAAGAATGGCATAAGCTTGTGGTTTCGGAGGTCCGCTCGGAATTTTCTTGGATTGGTGCTGGCCTCCCTCGGCGGTCCCTCTTGCGCCACCCCTGGCGCGCTCCGCGCGCCAGGGAGGAGGACCTAACGACAATCAATGACATTTACACAAAGCTCTGACTGTTGTTTCTTATTATTATTATTATGTTTCTTATTATTATTATTGTTCTAGGCCGTTCCCTGGCATGGGCAGGTCGTATCCAGATAAACGAGGAGCAACAACTACGTACAGGTATACTTTCGGAGGTATGGGCGGATTTCCTGGATCAGCGCTGGAGGCGCCGCCAGGAGGCCCAGCGCCCATGCAAGAAATCCTCGCGGAGATCCGACAGTTTATGCTCATGTAGTTTTTGAATCGAGAGCAGGTCTGGGTTCCATTCTTTATGTGGTCATGGGTCTGGACTCTGGACTCATGTGCTCGCCACCTTCGGACTCTGGAGCCTGGCAGATCTGGCGCGCGGCCGAGCTTCGAGACTCAGGGTGATAACCCCTGGCAGTGAAGCTCGGGCCAATGTGGGTGATGAGGGCCGAGCCCAGCTTGGAGCCAGCTGGGGGTCTAAGATGGCCCAGCACTGGTTCCGGCCAGCGGAAAGGGGGGAGAAAGGGGCCCTCTCGTCGCCACAGCTGGGCGCTGCTCGAATCTTTGTCAGTTTCGACCCCGGGAGGGTCCGGGGACTGATTTTGAACGGGTTTGCCCTCGTCCCCCCATCTGGCCGCTGGCCGCTCCCAGAGCCCACCCAGCTGTGTGTTTTGACTATCTGGTATGTTTGTTGCTATCTACACGCCATTCGGCCGACTCTTAGTAGAGCGAGTTCGTGATGATGTCATTCGCCACGACGCCGTATCGGAAATGTTCTGGAGGCCAGCAGGGGGTCGTTAGTGGCCATTTGGGACCTTCCTGGCATCCTTTGGGCGTCTCAGGGCAGCTTGGGAGAGTCTTACGGCCACCAGGGGGCGTCTCAGAGCCACCCTAACGCGTTCTTGGGGTGTCTTCGAGCCGTCTTCTCGCTCTTTTGGAGGCCGACTCCTGGCCTCTGGGGTCACCTTGGGGTCATCGTGGCGCAGCATTGGGTGCCTCATGGGCCGTCTGGGAGCCATTTCGCGGCTCTGAGTTGGTGCCCAGCGGAGTTTCCGCAGATCCAACCTAGTACTCCGTTTCTGCTCGCTGCCTCTGACGCAGCTGTCGCCACTTGAGGGAGCTTCTGAGAAGCTCCAGCGGAGTGCCGTTTAACCCGGGCACTTCACTTTCTTAGGGTGTCGGCTCATGGAATTCTCTTGGGCTCGCAGATGGGACATCGCGCTTTTTCAACTGTCAACCAGTATTGGATAAACTCGTTGGTATTGCCATTTGTTTCAGATCCGTTTGGTAACATGCCTTCGTCCGCTTTTATCATACTCTCTCTTGTTTACCTTTTATGCTGTTTGTCTCTCTCACTTTTTCTCTGAGTCATTTTGAACATGCCTCCTTGTTTCACTCCTGCTATCTCTCTTTATCTCACTCCCCTCTCCTCTGCCTCTCCCTTTCCCTCACTCTCTCTCTCTCTGTCTCTCTGTCTCTCTCTTTCTCTCTTTCTCTGCCTCCTTTCCATCTCTCTCTCTCTCTCTCTCCCCCCCGTCGACAGGGCCGGGCGCGGGAGGGGGAGCGGGGCAGGGCTGAACGACGAGGCCGAGTGGCCCAACTGCTGCAACATGAACCTCTACGACGACGGGGGGGCTGCGGTGGGCTGGCACTCAGGAGGGGAGCGAACGGGGCCCTCCTGGAGGATCGAGCGACGAGACCCGAGGGTCGAATTCAATTGTTTTTGTTAGGGTATGTCTGCACATCTGTACATGGTGTGTCTTGGAGGCTTCTTGTTGCCCCTGCTGGATTCGCTTCGAACTCCTGCTCAGACGAACCTCAGCATGCCGTGGGGGGGCGAGTTTTGATCCAAGAAGGAGCTTCGAGGACCCAGCATCGAGGTTCGAGTGTTTTTTCTAGCGTTGGCATCCTTGACGACGAGGGGGGGCTACAGTGGGTTCGCACTCAGGAGGGGATGGGGACGGATGCAGAGGATGCGGAGGAGGAGGAGGAGGGGGAGGAGGAGGAGGAGGAGGAGGAGGACGACGACGACGAGGAGGGGGGGGGGATGAGAAACGAGGGGGGAGGGGGAAGGGGAAGGACGAGGAGGAGGAGGAGGAGGATGTGTTGGGGGAGGGGGAATAGGAGGAGATGACGGGGATGGGGTGGGCTGCAGCGGGCTGACATTCAGCAGGAGTGGAGAGGGAGGGAGGCGGGTGAGGATGGATATGGGAGAATGGATGAGGGAGGAGGAGGCGGAGGACGAGGAGGTGGAGTTGAAGCATGGTGAGGAGGAAGGTTGAGGAGGAGATGACGACGTGGGGGCTGCAGTGAGCTGGCACACAGGAGGGATCTAAGGGGGTCTGGGGCGGGTCCCCCAGGACTGACAGAGGGTCCACACACAGGCGTGTCTGTCTATATCTATATTGGCGTATACACATACGTATGTGGAATGGCTATTGCGTCTCACGTGTGTATATATACACACATATAGATGTGTATACATATATATATACGTATATGTATATGTAATTTACTCATAGACATCTGCAAATGCGCAGCCCCCCCTCAGCACCCACTCTGTTTGCATCGGTCTTTGAGCTCTCCATTCGTACTCTTACTGATCGCCCGTCTCTTTTTCATCTGTGCATGTTCGTCCATCTTTCATGTTCATTGATTATCCGTGGTTTTTCGTGCTGGAATTGGGTTCGAATCAGCTGGACCTGGGATCTGCTCTGTTCCAAGTATGTCATACTTCGACTTCAGTCGAATCACATTGGCATCAGGTGGATGTGGGATCCACTCCATCCCTATTCTATTCTGATCCGATTCCAACAGGAAGGAAGCTAATTGGAATCAGCTGGATCTGGGATTTGCTCAATTCCAGTTCGAGCGAACGAGATTCCAAAAGTAATCCTCTTGAAATCAGATGGGCCTGGGATCTGCCCAAGTGGAATTAGATATTAGCTCCATTTCAACTATATGTTTATTCGATTCCAATGTGGGTTCTCATGGCTTCGGGTCAGATTCCAATCATATTTCAGACGGGCCCGACTCAAAACCGCTGGACCTGTGATCTGCCCAACTCTAATTCGATTTCAATGTTTGACGCTTCGCGTATCTCCACCAGCTTCTGGTTTCGGATACGATGGCCGACACACTGGCCCCCCCCCGGGCAGCGGTGTGGATCGCGGAGTGAGTGCTCTGTAGGTCCCAGCCGTTCCTCTGCCCTCGTTTCTCCACCGACCCCACGTACGGCGGTGGTGTCCGGACTTCGCGCTGAGTGGTTCAGTCTTCAGCGTTGTTGTTCCGATGTTGACTGCCTGCTGTCGGCTTGCGGAGTTGCTCGGAGCTTGGCGCCAACAGAGCGACTTCATTCGTTGCACTCGCACTGCTGTCCGCTTCACTTCGGTGCGGCCGGCGCCTATGTGCGTTTGCCCTAATGCAGAGCATTTTGCGCAGTGCATGTGCACTTCACGCATCGCGTGTAATTTGCCGTATTCCGTAGTCCCGGACATCGCTGTTGCCGCCAGACCGTTGTCGCGCGGCCGCCGACCCAAAAAAGTACCCCCACCAGCCCGCCCGCCGGATGCCCCCCGCAATTGTTCGAGCTCCCAGGATGCCCCCCGCAGTCAGCCTCCCCTGCAGCTTCGCGGCTGCTTTGTGAGCGGGCCGGCCGGCTCGCGCTTCTTGTAGCTATTTAGGCTTGCCCGTTTTCCCGGACTCCCTGCCCGCCGCCTGCCTCTTCGCTGGCGGCCGCGACCAAAAAAAATATCCCCACCAGCCTGAGTTTCCCTGGATGCCCCCGGCTGTCAGCCTCCCGCACAGCCCCGTTGCTGCTTGGTGAATGGGCCGGCCGGCTTGCGGCGCGTTTTGTAGCTAATTTGGTTTGCCCGTCGGCCCGGACAACTTCTCTCGCCGCTTGCGCGTTCGCTGGTGGCCGCGAACAAACAGGATCCCCACCAGCCCATCCAGAAACGATCAGCAGGGGAGTTGGTGAATCAGGGGCGGCAGAACGCATGCAGTCGCGCAGCCGTTTTCGAGAACACAAGCATCACACGTAGCTTCCCGCATTGAAGTTTCAGATGGAAACCAGTGCACATTCTTTACGCTTCGCGTATCCCCACCAGCCCATCTCACAGCAGCAACTCTTGCGAAGCATGCCGACAGTCGTGTTTTTCAGGCGTGTGTCCGCGTGGGCCCGCATATCTCCCCTGTTCCTCCTTCCTCCCGCCTCCTTGTACATCCTCCTTGTGGGGGGGGCGGGAGAAGGAGGAAGCGGAGGAGGAGGGAGAGAAAACGCTCCTCGTGATTGGAGTCGTTTGGGGTTTCTCGTCCTGGTGTGGGTCGTTCGGGCCCTTCTTCCTGGTGTGAGTCGTTCGGGCTCTTCGTGGTAGGAGTCGTTCGGGCTTTTCGTCCTGGTGTGAGTCGTTCGGGCTTCTCGTGGTGTGAGTTGTTCGGGCCCCTCATCCTGGTGTGAGTCGTTTGGGCCCCTCCTCCTGGTGTGACTCGTTCGGGCTCCTCGTGGTGTGGGTCGTTCGGGGCCCGCGTCGTGGTGTGAGTCGTTCGGGCTCCTCGTGGTGTGAGTCGTTCGGGCGCCTCGTCCTGGTGTGAGTCGTTCGGGCCCCTCCTTGTGGTGTGAGTCGTTCGGGCTCTTCGTGGTGTGAGTCGTTCGGGCCCCTCGTCCTGGTGTGAGTCGTTCGGGCTCCTCGTGGGGCCTCTTGGGGGCCTCTTGGAGCCTCTTGGGGCCTCTTGGGGGCCTCTTGGGGGCCTCTTGGGGGCCTCTTGGAGGCCTCTTGGGGCCTCTTGGGGCCTTGGGGGCCGCTTGGGGGCCTCTTGGGGGCCTCTTGGAGGCCTCTTGGGAGCCTCCTGGGGGCCTCTTGGGGCCATCTTGGGGCCTCGGGCGAGCTCCTCAGAAGCGCAATGGAGGGCCGCCCCCTGAGAAGGACAAAATGAGCCCAAAACCTGCGTAAAATCAATGATTTTGCGATGAAGGACGAGGAGCGCTGCCCCCTCAGAAGGCCAAAATGGGGCCGAAACCCAAGTAAAATCAATGATTTTGGCTTCACAGAAGAGGAGAGCATTTTTTCTACACCCCCCCGTCGGGGCCAGAATCCTCGTGAGGGTCGTCGTCTTTTGGCCCCCCCAGGAGTCAAAAAAGACCCCCCCAACGACCCGCGGGAATCCTTCTCCAGGCCCAGGGGGAGGGGGTAGGGGGAGGGGTAAACCCCTCCCCGGAGGGGAAGAAGGGGGTTGGGGGGTTGAGGACATAGGGGGCTCTCTAAACCACTCACGCCCTAAAGGGCTGGTGGGATTACGATGGTGCTTCGATGAGAAGTGAGGGGTATTTCGATGAGTCGTAATGGTTGTTGCACCGATTTGTATCTTAAGCTCGCGTGCGTTCCGAAACTTGGAGGCATCTTGGGGCCCTCTTGGGATTCTCTTGGGCCCCTCTTGGGGCCTCTTGGGGCTCTTTCTTGGGGCTCTCCGGAGGTCCTCTTAGGGCCTTTTTGGGGCTCTTTTGGGGCCCTCTTGGGGCTCTTTTGGGGGTCTTGGAGCCCTCTTGGGGCTCTTTGGGGGGGGGGGGGGGAGGCCTCTCGGGCCGTTTTCCTTATGGCTAAGGAAGGGGGGGGGGGGGCGGGGGGGGCAATTCTTGCCCCCCCCCCATCGGAGGCTCAACAATGCCGTCTTGGGGCCCTTTTGGCCCGCTCTTGGAGCGCTCTTGGGCGCTCTTGGGGCCGTCTTGAGGCTCTCTTGGGCCCCTCTTGGGGCTGTCTTGGGCTATTCTGGGGCCTCAAGAGCCCTTCGGAGGCGAAACAGCGAGAAGGCAAAGCACATTGTTTTTTTTTTGGTTTTGAAATGATTTTGGCTTCTTGGCAGGGTCCTTGGAGGCCTCGGAGGGCACTTGAAACCGTTTTGGGGCCGTCTTGAGGCCTCTTGGACGCGTGTCGGAGGCTATCTTGACCCGTATACCGCTATCTTGGGCCATCTTGGAGGCCATCTTGCGCTCTCGGAGGCCCTCTTGGAGCCATCTTGGGCCATCTTGGACGCTGCTATGGGTCCGTCCCCCCCCGTCCAAACGCAGGGAGGGGGGGGATGTACACCTCCCGAGCAGGGCAAGGCAGGAGGTTGGAAAGGGAAACGCCCTAGACCACCTGCGCCCAGAGGGCTGGTGGGATTCGATCCCAATCGGAGTCCCAATATGACTCGTCTGTATCTAGAACTTGCCCTATTCCAGATGCATTTCAAGTACGTTTCAATGATCTGCCCATTAAGATCAGCCTGGTCCGGAGTCTGCTTCACTCTCTCTCTGCCTCTCTGTCGTTGTCGCTGTCTCTGTCTCTCTCTTTCTCTTTGTTTCTGTCTCTGTTTTTTTGTTTTTCTCTCTCTCTTTCTCTCTCCCTCTCTTTCCCCCCCAGACACCCGTCACAACCCCGGTGCAACCGCAAGGTCTGCGATGTCAGGGATGTGGAAACCTTGTGCTGTCAGTTGGACTGTTAGTATTTGTTGGGTTTGTCCCCTTCCTCCTCCAGCGAAAATCAAACCCAGGAGCCCGCTCAGGAGCTCCGATTGAGAATCCCAAACATCGCAAACACCCAAATGCGAGGACATGACTTCCCCACTTCTCATCCCAGAAGTCGAAAACATCCAACTGAAATCACAAGGTTTGCAATGTCAGGGTTT